ACGTAAGCACGGTGAAGATGGTAAACGTTCCGCTACGCACGCGTTAACAGGCATGCAGTACCCCTCCTCCTTCACACTGGGGTAGAATCAGAGGCTAGAAAGACTCCAGAGCTTTTACTTTAGCCCAGCAGGGCCAGCCCTCCCTCCCTAGTGCCAGCTAGAACAAGGCATGAGGCTTCTCACCTTCCCATCAAGGCGGGTATCGGGGATCAAAGGGCTTCAGCCTGCAGCAGGAAGACATAGATCTAGACCCAACTAGGCAGCATCAGGGCAGCAGACCCATCTCCACCAGAGCAGCTCCAAGAAAACCAGAGCAAAGGGATCTAAATCAGACCCGGAGGGTCGCAACCTAATACCCGCACGTCTAGATTTCCATAAAAAATTCCTATCTCAAAGCAAAAAAAAAAAAAAAAAAAAAAAAAAAACCAACCCACACTATGATAGAATTACTTGAAAAAGCCTTTCAAGATACAATCATACGGGCCAGGGAGATGGCTCAGTGGAATAAGCACTTCCCTGGCAAGTGCAGGGGCCCAAGTTCAACTCCCGGTTTTGCAAAAAAAAAAAAAAAAAAACCAGATACAATCATAAAAATTCTGCAAGGAGCAGACATACACATGCCTGAAACACAAGCAACAGGAGTAAGTCTCAGCAAAGAGGTAGAAAGTCTCAGTAAATAAACAGAAGCTATGAGAACCAGATGGGAATTTTGGAACTGAAAAACACAATGACCAAAATAAAACTCAAAAAATAAATAAATAAAAATAAAAATAAAAGACTCACTGCACAGGTTCAACCGAAGAAAGAAAAGCTGTCCAGAAAAATATCCCATGTGCTGAAAAACCCAGCAATAGAAAAGTATCCAATCTGAAAAGTATCCAATCTGAAAAGTATCCAATCTGAACAGAAGGAAAGAGACCAGAAAACAGACAAACACACACACACACACAGATAGACAAAGTTTCTGGGACCTGTGGAACTATTTTTGGAGCTTTTCAGTCCTGTTACTGTCGTACAAGAATAAGAGAATGAGGACTAAGGAGTACATGGAGAACTCGCAGCTGGAAGCGGTCAAGACATACACTTACGGATGCAAGAACCTAAACCAAGGGCCGGCGGTATAGCTCAGCAGACTGAGCGCTGTCCCAGGTTTCTGAAGGAGAATGCTGTGCTCACAGGTCTAGCCCTGGCCTGGGCTCAGCTGGCTTCTCGCAGCTGCCACCTTGTCATTGGGCAGACCCCAGCTCCTGAGCCCCAGGCGATGGTGCTGAGGGTGGAACACATCAAGGGCCTCAATGGGCCAGCAAGTGTGGGCATGGTGCCCATGTGGTCTCAACCAGCTACAGCTGGCCTCGGGAGTATTCCTGGCAAGTCCAGTGTTTCCTTGGAGGAAACTCTCAGGCCACATGGCCACGGCAGCATCCTCCCTGCCCACCTGCAGGATGGCAGGTGGAGGCCAAAGCTGCACGTGACCTGTCCACACCTGAGCATTTCCACTGTTGGATTTGCTACACTTCCCAGCATACTCCGGGAAATGTAAGCACAAGTCTACTGCGTGGGGCTGCACATAGAACTATCCCCATCTCAATAAAAACAACCAACTCAGTTGATATGAGGCCATTCTTTGTCCCGCCCTCTTTCTGCCTGAACACAAATGAGATGTCTGGAGATGCAACAGCCACATTGAGACAATGAACTCTAAAGCCATTCCCTGAAGAGGGCAGAGGTAAGAGCCAGGCCCTTGCTTCCAGCAGGTAGCCGCTGTCTCAACCCAGCCTGGGGAAGCCACCAAAATGAGGTTTTCTGATATATGGAGGCAAGTGGAAACCCTAGATGACATACAGCAAAATGGTGCCAACACAGCCATGCGTGGCCAAAGGATAAAGCCACCCAGGGATAAAGGTGCCCCATGTTGGGTGGGGGTTCTCTCTGCAAGGGGTGAGCGGGTGAGAACAGAGGGAGCAAAGGACCCTTCACTCCGTCACTGATATATGACTTCCATGCTGAGTGAGCCTTACTACCCGCTCAATCCTTCTGTGCATCCCAAATATCTTGTAACAAGAGCTGAGTATAAGGGACAAAGAGTAGGTGAGGAAGAAAAGCCGTAATGGTTAAAAGAGTAAGTCAGGCCTTGATAAGTGCCAGTCAGACTCTGTGATTAGGGGGCATTGCCCCCTGAACTGGCTTAGGTGAGATGCTGCGCCCTGTGATCCTCCCACGCTTCCTAAACCACAAGGGCACCTGGCCTGAGCAGCCACCCGCCAGACCTGCCTTGGGGGCATGCAGCTATTGTAAGCCCTCTTGGGTGGCCAGCCAGGTTTGGCTAAACACCCTCCTGGAACAGGAGGCGAGACCCTCAGTCCTGCCCAGGTATCAGCCATCAGACACACTGGCCCTGTGGTGAGCGGTGAGGCATGACACGGGTGTCCAGGATACATACACAGCAGGCCTACACCCCTACACCCTAGGTCCTTAGGGCCCCGGTGGGGCCCAGGCTTCTGGGTTTTGAAAAGGATTTGTAGGTGGCCTACCCCAAGGGGTAGTCCCTGCCCTGGAGCTATCTGTCTCCGCCTCATTCTCCTGCTCCAATACTTAGGAGGTTAATAGTCTATGATGCATATTACAAAATATTTTTTTTTAACATTTCCAAATATAAAATTCCACCTTACAATTGGTTTCATAGACTACTTAAGACGACATCGCTCCTGGGACCCGGCATGTAGTTCAGTGGGGTAGAGCCCTTGCCTGGAATACAGGACACCCTGGGTTTGATTGCCAGCTTCCTCTTCCTCAAAAACAAAAAACAAACAAACAAACAAAAATACTCTCCCAGAGCCTGAGAAGTCTGTTCTCCCTGGAGGCCAGATCCTCTCCACCCACCCCAGGAAGGATTTGTCCTTCTCCCTGCCTCCCAGAACCCAAGAGGCCATGCTCCAGCAGATCTGGAGGTTATAAATGGTTTGGGGTGGTACAGTATTCTCAGGACATTTCTGTGATCTGAGACCACCCCATTGCTCCAGTGAGAGCTGGAGGGGACACTTCACTGGGGGAACAGATAGCAGCTGCCGTAAGTAAATAACGCACCAGTAGGACTCAGGTTTAAGGACCGGCTGTGCATTCAGCCTCTGTCCCCAGGCAGGCTGACACCTAACAATGTCCACATCCAGGATCAGGGCAAGGCTCAGAGCACTGTGTCCAGCGCCTCAGTGTGAGGAGGTGTCCCACTCCCTCCTCCTTCAGGTCTGACAAACAAGGTCTCTGGATTTGGAAAGAGGAGGCCCTATGCTCCAGCTGTCTGTGTAAATTAACATCCCAGCTCCGATGAAGACCTACATCTTTGGTCCCCCAACGTGGTTATGTTTCTTAACTGAAACTGAATCTCACGAGGTTCTTTCTATCCTTTTCTTTTTTTCTTTGTTCCAAAACTTGCACGGGAATATTGTTTTCATCCGCAGAAATCACGTGCCAGAATTGTCAAAAGGCTTTGGGCGGGTTCCACTTCCTGTGTGGAAAAGCAGCCCTCAGATAAGGCAGTGCTGGGGCTTGATGAATATTCATCAGCTCCCAGAGCTGTCAGCCAGGCCGCCTGGGAAGCCACTTCCAGAAAGCCAGCAGGCTCTCGGTGAAAAGCACTATTTTCAGAACTCTACCCAAGTCTATCTATTTTAACAGTTTTAAGAAGCCCCTAAGGCTTAAAACAGCAAAACAATCACTTCACTAAAATAAACAAGGCTTAGAGAGGGCAAATTCTAAGATGTTTACTGTCCTCCAATGCTGAGGTAACTACAGTCCCTGAGAAAAAGCAATTTGCAGTCAGAAAGCATTTGCCTGATTCTGAACCAACTGAGGCCTGAGTGACTAGAACAAGCCAGCTGGGGTGAGCCTGGCAGGGCACTCACCCCATGCTAGTCACATCTTGCTGGGCCGTGGCCCACTCCACAGAAGCTAGCTCTATGAAGGAACCAACTGAGAAACTTCTGGAAGGCCCTGACTGAGGACAAGGAGGAACACACAAGCCTGAGATGGACTGCCATGCATTGAGCTCACAAGGTAAAAACGGATTTTCTCCAAGCTTAAGTCTCTCAGCTATCCTTAGCTTTTAATGTAAAACTTCTCACACATGACCTTGGTCTAAACATAAAGCGAACACTCTGTGTTCTATTTTACCTCTGTCCTAGACTGCCACCCTCAAGATTCATAGGAAATCCATTTTACCGTCAGCTGGTGGAAGCACTGGTGGTGGAGGAAGCAGGCCAAAAGGAAGAACATACTTTAGAAATCTCAAGGAAATGTGACAGATAAGGTACCTTTATCAAGGGTGGGAGGAAAAAATATATATAGAGAGAGAGAAGAGTTAGGATAGATATACAGCTACTTTCTCTTAGTTCACTGAGAATAAAAGTTTGTACTAATATTGTTTAGGCAAGCTATCATGTCTGCATCTTATCCTCTGAATAACTATTACAGAGATAACAATATGCAATGTATTAATTATTATAAACATCCTACTGACCTATTTTGAAACTGTTTCATCGCTATTTAATCTTTTTTCTCCTTAAAATAAATAAAAGTTCTACTAAAATGTATCACTTTAAGACACCACCACAGCCTGATGTGATCTGGGTTGGAAACAGCATTTCGCACACCACCACACCCACCGCATCCTGGCAGTCCAGATTGCGGAGTGGGGCAGCTCAGGGTGCTGCTGGGGCCAAGGTGTGAGCTGCAGGGCCATCCTCATGGTGAAAAACCTCCCACCTGAGCCAGGCATGGTGGCACATGCCTGTAATTCCAGCACATGGAAAGCTGAGGCAGTAGGATCACTGTGAATTCAACGGAGACCCTATCTCAAAGGAAGGCAAAATAAACAAACAAACCTCCCACCCAGTTTCACAGCCACAGTTCAGACAAAGAAAACAAAAGCTCCGAAAGTGACTGGCTCCCTGATACCATATTCCTACTTTCCAAAAGGAGCCCGCAGGCCCTATTGGAAAACTCACCAGCCAGGCTGTAGGGTCAGTCCTTTGGCTGATGGAAGAAGTGCTGGAGCAACGAGAGGGAACGGGATTATCTCCTCTAGACAGAGGTTAGCAAACGCCCTGCATTCCAGGGAAGAGGAGTCAGGGCCTTGCCTGGTGTCCCCAAGGGCTCAGGTAGCACCTGCCACCACGAGCGCCTGTGGGCTCCCTGCTCTCTACTTCTCCGCAAGCCCACTCTGCACAGCACAACGTTCAGCTGCTCAAAAGGATGAGCTGGATGCCAACACTCAGAAAACCAAAACCAAAACAAACACAAAAGCACACGCACAGCCCAACCCATCTGGAGTAGCCATGTGGGAAAAGTTGAGCAGGGGACCTGGACTTCATCCCCACACCTTCCCCAGAGGCTCACGCAGCAGGATCACTGCGAATTCAAGGTCAGCCTAAACTACAAAGGCAGACCCTATCTCAAAGGCAGCTGTCCTGCCACGCATCAAGACTGACGTCAGTGAGGCAAGGTGTGGGTGGTGCCAGGCTCAGAACTGCCAGGCTCTGCGTGGGTTCTGCTCCTCCAACTCGTAGGAAATACAACCTAAAGCGCTTTTGTTTAGGAGCAAGGACTACTCCCAGATTTGATTTCAGAAGTACAGAAAGGAACCATTGGTGATCATGGCTAGTATTTTCCCAGCATTCTCCTTGTGCCCGTAGTGCCTGTTGTCCTTCCCAGCAGTTCTGTGAAAGCGTCCTCTGCACCAAAAATAAACGGGAAGTCCTAAGAGCCAACACCCACCTGCCCAAGGCCCACAGAGTCAGTCTGCTTTCCAAGGAGCTTGCACAGGGAGCCCTCTTCTTCAGTGTTTGTCTTAATCAGCCTCCTTTGCCGGGTTGCACAACAACCCAGGGCCACACGCTTTGGGTTACAATTAAACAAACGATCACAGGTCAAAGTCCAGGCTCTCAGGGCATCTTGCCCCTTGCCAAGGAAACATTTAAACTGTCTTTTTCATCCCTCCCCCATCCACTTTTGACTTTTTTCCTCACTGGAATAGTTAGGGAGTATATGTTTGGGTTTTGTGTCATCTCAAAATCTTCTCTTAATTAAAGTTAAACTTCTTTTAATTTTCCAGCTCCAGTAATGAAATCACTTGGGCGCTACATTGAAAAATAAAAGAAAGAAAAATGTTTTCTCTCAGTCAAGCCAAAAAGTGTAAGGGCGAGAGCTGCAGCAGTTCTGTTCCTGGAAATGCCAGTAGGGAGAGAGAAGGGAAAGAAGTCCTGAAGAGATACGCAGGGCTGAGGACAGCGAGGGACAGTGGAGGAGAGGCCGCAAAAGAAGAGAGAGCAGGACAGATCCGGTAGTGAGGAGTGTCACCAGGAAATTACACCGATGGGGTGGGGACCAGTAGCAACGGCTGAGGGTGGGAGCTCTCAGGAAAACAGCCGAGCTGAAATCCAAAGGCACCAAGATGGGGGGACAGTGGGGCTCTTGCCGCAGGAACAGGCAGTGGCATGAAGGCAGGCAGGTGGCTCCACAGCAGGAAAGGGGGAAATGACTACAAGTGAGTCAAGTAGGGAAGGGGGACCTGCAAAATCTGGCGAGGAAAGGGAAGCTACTGGAGGATACTTAAAGAGGTGCCAACACAGATTTTCAAAACTCTCAGTCCTGTAGGAATGCGGGAAGTGACTGGGACACACGTGTGTTCAGGGTCTTGGCTCATCTTTTCTACGTGGCAGCCTGTCCCCGAGTCGGCAGCACCAGTAACCCACTGGCCCTTCTCCCAGGAATGTCTAGAAATTACTGCAACAAAACAAGACTAGAGTTGGGGTGCAGCTCTGTGTTAAGGTGCTGGCCTCGCATTCCTTCATCCTCAGGACCAAAACAAAAACAGACAAATACCCACCAAGA